CACACCCTCCCCATCCCCCTCACACACAAACTCCCCATAACCCCTCACACTCACCCTCCTCACAACTCCCTCACACACACCCTCCCCATGTCCCTCACACACACCCTCCCCATGTCCCTCACACACACCCTCCCCACATCCCTCACACAAACCCTCTCCACATCCCTCACAGACACCCTCCCCACAACCCCTCACAATCACCCTCCCCACATCCCTCACACACACACCCTCCCTACAGCCCTCACACACACCTTCCCCACGTCCCTCACACACACCCTCCCCACGTCCCCCTGACACACCCTCCGCACATCCCCCACACCCCTCACACACACCCTCCCCACGTCCCTCACACTTACCCTCCCCACTTCCCTCACACACACCCTCCCCACGTCCCCCACACACCCTCCTCCATCCGTCACACACACCCTCCCTACATCCCTCACATTCACCCTCCCCACATCCCTCACACACACCCTCCCCACGTCCCCCACACACACCCTCACCATGTCCCTCACACACACACCCTCACCATGTCCCTCACAGTCACCCTCCCCACGTCCCTCACATTCACCCTCCCCATATCACTCACACACACGCCCTCACCATGTCCCTCACACACACGCCCTCACCATGTCCCTCACACACACACCCTCACCATGTCCCTCACACACACACCCTCACCATGTCCCTCACACACACATGCCCTCTCCATATCCCTCACACACACCCTCCCCAAATCCCTCACACACTCACCCTCCTCACAGCCCCCTCACACACACCCTCTCTACACCAGACACACACACATCCCACCCCAATACCCCATCACTCAAGTTTCCTACTCTCTTTGTTTTTGTTTGAGACAGAGTCTCACTTTGTTATACCCGAGAGAGTGCTGTGCTGTGGCATTACAGCTCAACCTCAAACTCTTGGGCTCAAGAGATTATCTTGCCTCAGCCTCCTGAGTAGCAGGGACTACAGGCGCCAATCACAATGCCCAGCTATTTTTAGAGACGAGGTCTCACTCTAGCTCAGGCTGGTCTTGTGAGCTCAGGTGATCCGCCCACCTGGCCTCCCAGAGTGCTAGGATTACAGGCATGAGCCACTGCGCCCGGCCTAAGTTTTCTAGTCTCTTCATACAGTGTTCCCAAGTTCTCATATTCTGGAACAAGATATAGGAAGGCACAGATTTAAGTTACACAACTTGCATTTTGTCACTGTGATAATACATCTGGTACTAACCTGCTTGGTGTTTTTTTTCCCAAAGTTTCTGATGTACATGTCATATTCATTTACTGGTGGTAGATCCAAGAGAGAGAAAGTGAATGAAAAATCTAAATCAATAAGCCGAAGCAGTTTTGTACTTCGTGTCCTTTAAAATAAGTTGGAGATGAGACAAGAGTTAAATTGAACAATACGAGTAGGGAAGTGGAGAGAGAACGGAAAGAACCTTATGGTTAAATGCACATTATTATCAAGCACCTAACTTTTGTTTGGATTAGTGTCTGAGGTACCTAACAGTTATTAAAAATAACTGAGTCAAAGATGGTCACACATATATCACTGATGAGTGTATCATGAACCAAACGTGTGACTATTCCAACACAGTGCACCTGAGGATAACACAAAATAAAGTTATGATATACGTGTGCCTATAATTTTCATGAGCAGCAATTCACTCTACTCTGGGAATACACATGCCTTGACTGGAGGGTCACATCTCTGTCTCACCACCTGAGCTGCGGTCAAACCACACAGCCAGCTGGGCTTTCAGGCCTCCCTGATCCCTAGGTCATGGCTTCCTCTGGGACTGGACCCACAGGCAGCATCCATCATGGCTAATTACCCTCCACCCACAGCTTCTGAAAAACCACACCACCCTGTCTCCTCTGGCCTCACAGATGTATCTTTTCAGTCACCTGTGCCGGTTCCTCCTTTCCTTCTGGACACCCTAATGTCAGCATGCCTGAGGTTCAATCCTTATATCTGCCATCTGTCACCCCACCCTCGAATATGAGCTCTATTTATTCATATTCCACACTTGTGCTCAATAAATACAGGGTGAATGAGGGAGGGTGGGTGGTCCTGCCAACACCCCCGTGCCTCATAATTTGATCTGATATGCCATGCTCCTGGAACATGTGTCTTTAGAGGCTTCAAGTAAAGCCCAGGGATTCATCACAGATTCTCCCACTTGAAAGTCCTAACTCCAGTTGTCTCCTTGCCCTGCAGATGTCACAAGTTCCAGGCCATCACTTTCTGCTTGACTCTACTGCCTTGAGAAACACAGACACAAATTCCTGGCATGAAAACGAGGGTGTTAAATGCAAGGGTCACCCTGACGCACCCCTGTTTCCAGGATTTGGTTGGCTCTTCAGGCCCCAGCTATCTTAGTTGCTTGTAGTGTATTCAGCTGTTTGTTTTTCATATCCAGCTTTTCTGGCTGAGTATGGCTACAGGGTTTCACTGATACACACTATCCCATCACAGAAGGCAGTAAAAGCCCTTTACATTTTATTCTATACTGGAACATTTTTCATGGCACTACATACCCTGTAATAGTATCCATCACTCTGATACACTTGATATTAAACCTCCTACACAAAAACTACACCAATTCGTTACAAGCAAACCTTTTCTCTATATTCCCATTTATACTTTAGTATTATCATTTTTTTAAAACACTTTGCCTATTCCATAAAGGAAAAATTCACCTTGTTGCTTCAACATGCATTTCTCTGACAAGACATAGTTGTATTTTGATCTATTTACTGACAGTTGAATTTTTCTCTATTGTGAATTATCTCTGTGTCCTTTACCATCCTAGACCCACCTTGTGTGAGTTTAGGGGAAGGAGAGAAGAGAAAATAAAACCATTGTTTTTCTCCTGACTCCTCTGTCTGGAGTGGCTGCCATATTTCTCTGTGACTCTGGCCTTGGTCAGGAGGGCCTGCCCTGCCCTAGTCAGCTCCTGGCCCTATAAGTACAGGGAGCCTCAGTTTCTCCTGCTGGTGCTAATCTCCAGGTTGCCTCAGTCCCCCCTTAACAATTCAGCTTTCACAACATTAACTATAATTAATTTTATAATTACAAAAGACTTAAGACCTCAAGACTTAAGATTTATGCTCATTTTCAATGAGGGATATTAAAGTTGCTTATTAAATTACAAATCATCTTGGGCGATGCCCATAGCTCAGTGGGTAGGGTACTGGCCACATACACCGAGGCTGGCAGGTACAAACCTGGCCTGAGCCAGCTAAAACAATGACAACTGCAACAAAAAAATAGCTGGGCGCTGTAGTGGGTGCCTGTAGTCCCAACTACTTGGGAGGCTGAGGCAAGAGAATGGCTTGAGCCCAAGAGTTTGAGGTTGCTGTGAGTTGTGATGCCATAGCACTCTACCCAGGGCAACAGCTTAAGACTCTGTTTCAAAAAAAAAAAAATTATAAAGCATCTTATGCTTTAGAGATAGTAAACATCTGTCATATACTTTCCCAATTGGTCAATTACCTTTAAATTCTGTTGAATTCATAGACTATTTTGCCTTATAGAAATTTCATTTTTTGAGATGTAATCCAATAATTTTTAAATTTTTTGTTTTTTTCTTAGAAAGTCCTTTCCTACAATTGAAATAACTACTTATATTACCTATGCTCTTTTTTACATTTATCTTTTTAACCCAGTTGGAATTTACCTTGGATATACTGTGAAGCAGGTATCTAAGCAGGTGTCTGCTTCTCCCCAAATTTCTAATTAACTTACTCAACTTATATCTAGTAAGATAAATGCCTCTATTGTTTTTACCTTCTCTGTAACTGTATTTCTTCACAGCACACAAACACACAAATGCCAGAACTTTTCCACGTTCCTCTAAAGGAACCCTACATTTTCCTCAAAAACAGTTTTTATTTATCATCAATCCATTTATGTCTCAGCCTTTGACTGTTTAAATTTTCCTTTCAACATCTGTAATGTAATCTCTGAACCAAAATAATCCACATGATACACTTGTATGTTATACATTCTAATGTAATTACCATCCTAGGACCAACTTAGCCCAGAGCCAAGGAAGTGCCAACAACCTGCCCCTGTGTTGGGCTCCTCCATCCATATCCCTGGGTCCCCAGTGCCCACTACAATCACCATAATGAATTGTGTAGTTGTCATTTCCCTTGCATTTTAAAATATAATGTTATCGCATATTTATATGTGCCTACACAACATACTGTATAGCTTTGGCCATTTCTGAGTTTGCAAAAATATGCAGTTTCCTAAGAACTTGAATTAGGTGAAAAAAAAGCAATCTGGCCATAGGGCCAAGAAACTTCTGTTTTACAACCTCAACAGAAGAATCAAAAAATAAGGGCAACAAAAATGGGGTGAAAACTGTTGTTTTTTGTTCTTAATGATTTACTTGTTCGTTTGGCAAATGTTTATCAAGTATTTACTAAGGCCGGGTACTAAAGTAAGCAATACAAATTTTAAACCTACCTTTAAAAAAAATCCTCTATTTTTTTCATGTATTCCTCAATCATACTTGAATTCAACACAATAGACCCTAGACTTGAAGATATTGTCTTCTATAAATTTCTAAGTTCACAGATATCAGAAGTGTGGCATCTGGCAGCCCTGGGCTCAATGTCCAGCTTGACTCTGTACCAGTGGCTGGTGCCGAGTGCTCCCCACATCTACAGGTGGGGCTGTAGGATGGAGTGACACAGGGCGCTACACAACATAACACAAGAGAACGGCGGGCATGCCCACCCATCAGGCAGCGTACAGCTGCACACTCACTCCCTCATCTATTTAGAGGCACAGTGACACTCTGCTTGGGCTCTTACCTGACACCTCCTGCACCTGCAGGGAGGGCAGCACTGTGCCCAGATGCAGAGCACCCTGGGCCAGGCCCACCCCGCACTCTCTGAGCGCTGCTCAGATCCTGCCTCAGCCCAAACAGGCATACACCCCAGGGCAAGTCCAGACAGGCACACCCAGGGTTTGTCTACCGCAGCACACATATATACCATTAACACAGCATCTGAACACAGAGAAATGGAGTACAAATTAAATAACACATTTAAACAGTCAGTAGTGAAAACAAAATGAAAAGCTCTATTTTTTAAAAGTATGTTGAAGAAAGTATATTAAAGTCCCATAGTTCCTTTGGCAAATCTCCCAGTACACCTACTTTTGCTTAAGGGCCTGAGTCCGACTCTTTTGACGGTGGGAGGCTGTTGCAAAATCCACAAAAATTCCACAAACAGAGGCTTTTGATGGGGATTTATTTGCATCTGCATAATGAGGAAAAAAGTATTTCTGTAACATTAAAATATGTCTTCCAAGTCAAAAACAAAAAAATTAAAACAATTAGAAGCATATATAATAATTATATTCAATAAGCTTTTTACTTGAAATTAATGATAACAATAAGCATCTCTCAAGTATTTAAGAGGCTTACTCCTACATCTGAAACTCGCAGGTAAAAAAGTAAAATTTTACTGACCATTTATATACGTGTCAATCACACTTTAAAAGTTTCAGAAACATTTAAGAATACATAAAAGATGTAGGCCTACCCCCCCAAAATAAAGATTATATCCTAGTAAGGGAGTTAGATTATGAAAACCCAAGATAGCTAAAAAAACAGAAGCAAGTACAAATTAATACTGGGTCGATGACTCACTCATTATTTCAAAGAGCACAAACCTAAGGGGCATGCAGGTAGGAGCCTCATCACGAGACTTCCGGACGCTTCCAAAGATGTGATGAGATTTTCCATCAGGCTGATGAAAAAGGCCCAAGCTACCATGAACAAACCTGTCTACCACCCTTCCTAGTAGACACAAATCTCTCCTCAATTCACCTCTTTTCCACTGAGGATTTGTGTCGTTTCCTATATGTATTTACCCCCACACTGTATTTGTTCATGTATTTGTTCTAGTTATATCCTAATCTGTCTTCTCATCCCTTTGGATGTTTGTTTGGACTTAACCTGACCACCATACACATTTATAAAACTCACACCCTTTTCCACACATTTCTAGACCCTCACAGCAAAGCAGCAGCCAGAGGGTCTGCTCAGGACACCCACTTCTACCTCAGTACCGCCTGTCACTGCCACTATGACCATGTAAGCTATTTCATCTCTGCACCTCAGTTCCCTACAAGGCAGAACACTGACGTTTAGTATTAAGATAAGAGCTAAAGCAAGCTGTATTTATAAATAGCACTGGGCCAAATGCAACGTGCCACACAGACATGAAGAGATGATATTGTTCCACTTTTAGAAATAAGGAAACTGGTAGATGTGTTTAAAGTCACAGAATGAAGATTCCAACAAAAACACCCCTGGAGCTGCCCCCGTACCAGCCATCAGCACTCAGCAAACACTTATTCACTAACCAAGCAGACAACTGGCCTTGGGGAGGTGAGCTCCTTCAGACATGGTAACTGCAGTCCCCTGGAAAAAGTTAGGCATCAAATGGTTTCCTATTGCCCTGAGAAAAGATAAGGTGCGCAGTTTATGCCAAAATAAATCAATCACTGCAGGTGGTGGGTACTTCACCCAAAATAACACTAAGACGGCTGGGGGTGGCCAAGTAGGACACAGGGAAGGAATACTCTCCATTACTTACAGATGGTGGTCATGAGACAGTGAGGACTCCTAACATGCTTGGGGTCACCTGACACTTGTTTAAGACACTGTATGTATCCTGTATGTTAATTTATTTAATTAATCCTCACAATCCTGAAGAAAGCCTTACCCTTATTTTATAAGGAAACTAACACACTGGTTAGGGTGCTGACCAAGATCACGTAGCAAATCAGTGGCATACTCAGGTCTGAGACTCCAGAACCAATGCTCACTCACACGCTGTTCCCACCTCCCAGCCTACAGCTGCCCACTGAGTAGTCCTCACTCCCCCTGCACCTGTGCTAGCTTCCCATGGACTGCAGCCCCAACTCCAGCTATAACTCCATCTAGGTAGCAAGGATTCCTTCAAATAACATAATCTCTTGGCTTGGCACCTGTAGCACAGTGGTTATGGCTCCAGCTACATACACTGAGGCTGGCGGGTTCGAACTCAGCCCCGGTCAGTTAAACAACAATGACAACTGCAACAAAAAAACAGCCAGGCGTTGTGGCAGGCACCTGTAGTCCCAGCTACGTGAGAGCCTGAGGCAAAAGAATTGCTTAAGCCCAAAGAGTTTGAGGTTGCAGTGAGCTGTGACACCATGGCACTCTACAAAGGGTGAGATAGTGAGACTCTGTCTCAAAAAAAAAAACAAAAAACTCTCATATTTGGGGTTAACAAATTCTAATCTTATAAATTGGGTTAATAAGAATAGATTGCAAGAGTATGAATTTAGGAAATGAGAAACAAAAAGGTTACAAAGATCTGCTAACAAAATGAGGAACTCTTAGAATAAAATCTTGCTCACCTGGCAAGCCCAGAGCAGGTGAGCTCTGAATGCCACCACAAAGCTCTGCCTGCCGCTGGCACCAGACCCGCCTGTGCACTACAGACAGTGAAGGAATGGAACAAGCCCCTGAGCCTCAGCCAGTGGACAGAGCCAAAATGAGGATGGGCCCACTTTGCCAGGGCGGGCACCCTGGCTTCAAAGAAATGTTTCTAGCTGTGAGTTTAAGGAACACTCTATGTATCAGCACTGCCCAACTGAGCAGGTACAAAATAATCATTTTGCAAATAATCATAGCAATAATCATAATCATAGCAATAATCATAGCAAATAATCATAGCAATAATAATCAGAGCAATAATCATTTTGCAAAACTTCATTTGTATTATTCCATTGTATTAATTATTCATTATTTTACTGGGTAAAATAATAAAGTAGTATATCATCCAATAATATTTTTAACATTGTCCCATTTTTCCTATAGTGCTAATGTTTTTATTAGAAAATCATAGTTGTCAAAAACAAGAAAAAAATCAGTTTTCTCTTAAAGTGATTTTACTTTTCTATTTATCTATTTTTTTTTTTTTTTTGAAGATGGGGTCTCACTCTGTCAACAAGGCTGGAGTGCAGTGGTGTGATCAGAGCTCACTGTAGCCTCAATCCCTGGACTCAAGTGATCCTCCTGCCTCAGCCTTCCAAGTAGCTGTGATTACAGACCCCTATTATGACACCTGGATAATTTTTTTTTTTTTTTTTGCAGTTTTTGGCCGGGGCTGGGTTTGAACCCGCCACCTCAGGCATATGGGGCCAGCGCCCTACTTCCTTGAGCCCCAGGCACCACCAGACACCTGGATAATTTTTCTATTTTTTTCTAGATACTCAGTCTTGTGTTACTCAGGCTGGTCTCCAACTCCTGAGCTCAAGCAATCCTCTTGCCTTCAGGATGCACCTGCTTCCTTTAAGTGATTTTAAAACATCAACTCCAACAGTAACTTACCATGTCTGGATGCCAAGAATTTCCAGGAAAACAACATTTTAAATTTCATTTAAATAAATCCTTGGGGGAAAAGGCTGAGTCCAGAGTGTGAATACTGGGCTATACCCCAGGCTTTCATTGCCCTGTCACCCCTCGGTCCTCTGCCTGCCTCACCAGGTCCTCATGTGCTGACAGTCACAAGCACTCCCTTGTGGAAACTCCAGGAGGCATTACTAGGAAGAGTAAGCCATGTGCTCGCAGACTGAGCCAGAGAATGGCCACATAGGAGAATAGGTGCTGTTGTGATTAAGGAGGGTCACAGCACACATAGTACCCTTTGCCTGGGCTTCTCACATGTCTTCTATGTGTCTTGCAGGTGCCACTGCCGTGACGTTGAGATGCCCACCTGCCTGTTAGAACAACCCTGCCTAGTCCCAGCTACTTGGGACGCTGAAGCAAGAGGACTGCTTGAGCCAAACAGGTTGACGTTGATGTGAGCTATGACACCACAGCACTCTACTGAGGGCAATGAAGTGAGACTCTGCCTCAAGAAAAAAAAGAACAACACTGCCCCTAATAGTCATTGCTGACACTCAGTCCCCAGCACCCTGAGGGCACAGACACCACGCAGTGACCCACACACATACCTGTCCTGGATTCCCTCTCACATTCTGTTCCACCTTGTTTCTGAAACAGTTTTGAAGATAACTCGCCAATCCTTTCATTTTCTGCACTAATGGCTTTTTGAATCTCTTCTATCTCCCTTTTTTGGGCTAGAGGAAGTTCATCCAGTTTCCCTCCTGGCTCTGGCTCTGGACTGCTGTCCTCATCACCGTCACAAACCTCAAAGTCATCCTCGTAGTCCTACAAACAACAACAGTGCTTTTGGAAACTTTAAGACAAAGCACTTTAATTAACACTTAGAATGAACAAAACATTACCATTTATCATTTAAAATAGACAAAGTCTTTCAATGGCAAAGAGAGATTTTCATAGTTCGCTGACTTTAATGTCACAATACTGCAAACTTGCTCAGACTACTGCACTTGTTTCTCCAGAATGAACCATGCTGTATAAAGACCAGAGCTGTAAGCAGAAGTATTGTACACACATCTGTGCTGAGAGTGTGTGTGCACCATGGACGCAGAGTGCAGATGGACTGCTGATGCAGCGTGTGGGTGGACCATGGACACAGTGTGTGTGCACTGTGGACGCAGCATGCGGGTGGACCGTGGCTATAGTGTAAGGGTGGACGTGGATGCAGCACGTGTGCACTGTGGAAGCAGTGTGTGGGTGCACCATGGAAGCAGCACACAGGTGGACCCTGGAAGCAGCGTGCAGGTGAACCATGGAAGCAGCATGTATGCACCATGGAAGCAGCACATGTGCACCGTGGAAGCAGTATGTATGCACCGTGGAAGCAGCACATGTGAACCATGGAAGCAGCATGCATGCACCGTGGAAGCGGCACATGTGCACCGTGGAAGCAGCATGTATGCACCGTGGAAGCGGCACATGTGCACCGTGGAAGCAGCACGCGGGAAGACCATGGATGCAGCACATGTGCACACAGGTCAGACCATAAGCTCACTTAGGGACATGACACTGGAGGTCTGGCAGAAGCACAGCAAGCTCTTTACAGATAATAGCTAGACCTAACCCAACTTAATCAGACATGAGGTATTCAGCAATAGAAAGAGAAAAAGGCTATTAAATTATTATATATAAGCCAATTTTTAAGAATAAATTATTTTTAAACTAAGAAAAAGTTTGACTTTTATACATACTTCAAAATCATCTTCATAACTGGCTGTATATTCATTAGCTCCAGCATTTTCTAAATCAATGTCTTCCTTTTCAATATCCTAGAGGTTAAAAATCAAACATAAAACAAAAAAATTCAATCATAAATGTAAATATTGCAAATAGATTGGGAAAATATATGTTTCTGATATTCGCTTATTGCTAATTTGTAAGTATTTATAAAACTAACATAACTTAAGTTCAAATTCTTGCAAGAAATATCCTTGCTAATGTATGTGGCCAAAAACATAAAATACTTAATAAACACATTCTTTTTGGGAAATGTCTATAATCCTAGTGACTACAAATAATTGTTTAAAAGCACCACATAAATGAATTCCAAGGTTCAGTGATCTATTTCCTACCCACAAGCACACAGAACACAGGCGCACACCCTCTTGGCAGTTTGTGACAGACAAAATAGGCTGTTCAAGTGCAGAGGCAGCCGGGCCTTCTCCTCCCATGAAGAGGACAAGCCACTCCCAGCCTGCCTGGGACATGGCATCAGAGGGCACTGGGCTCACCACTCTCTCCAGGGAAGAGACAGGGATCATGAGGTCCCGTGGTGGGACAGCATGCACCAGGCTTAGGAAAACTGGGAGGCTCACAGAGCACCTGGCCACCTTGGTCTGGAAAGGAAAGTAGAAACATACCCAAGCTTTTGGGCTTAGAGGGCAACAGAAAGGTGATGTATATTTAGAAGACTTGTATTTTCTCCCCAACAAATGTTCCTCCTCTTACCTAAAACTGCTCTTGGACACACTGCTTGATAGTGACATGGCATTCCAGACACACCACCAGCCCTCTCTGGGGCCCCACAGGCCCCTGCCCAGACCTGCCCCACCACTCTGACTCTGGGTTCCCTCTGGGTCTGCATGGAATACACAGGTACCCTCTGGGACAGAATCCTGACCCCTGAGCACACCACACAGCCATCATGGGAGCCTGCAAGAGAGGTCACTCTGGTATAGCAGCCTGGGCCCGGCTCCCAGGGAGGCAAGGTCTATAGCCACCCAGAGAGCTCAGGAAATTGGTGCTGGCGCAGACCAGGCCAGGGGGACACGACTCCTGACATCTTCATGTATAAAAGCAGGGAGGTCTCAGTGTTACCAACCAGGACCTGACACATGAAGGACAGCACATCAGGGGACGGTGGGCAAAGGCTCATCAGTATAGGACAGGCAAGGTGGGCCTACCAGGGAGGGGGACCCCAGGAGAGCTGAAGCTAGGAAAGAGGCCAAAATGTAGGACCAAGGCACACGTTCATGCTGCCATTAAGATACAGCCAGGTCCCCACATCTGGATGCTCAGAGACCTGCTTTTCCAGATACATGTGTCCCAGAGACCAGGGGCAGGGGAGGCAATGTGAATAAACACTTTATAGGAAAAACTGTCCCACTCCCGATCCTTCTGGGGACTTCCAGCCCAACAGCAGGCTAAAGACTCAATATAGTAAAATGCCAATAGTCCTTCCCAAACCTGCCAGAGGGGAGGCCACAGGCAAACCCTGGGCCAGCATAGAGCAGATTCCTCAGGGGAAACACCACAGGGCCAGGCTAGCACACAGAAACCCGAACTGTAGCTGAGAGAACGAGGAGGCTGGGAGCAAACAGCCTGAACAGTAACAACTCCAGGGCATGGAATCACTAGCCCACACATCTGCGGGACACACCTCCAGCAGCTCAACTTGGTGCTCACATTAACTACTGAGGGGGATCTCCCAGGCTCAGGCTACAGGAGAAAAAAGGAACCTCCCTGAAACAGGCCCAAGCACCTGCTCCTGCACGGCCCCCTTGAGAGGGGCTGTTGTCCAGAGCCCAACTAGTGTTCAGAACCCTGCGACCCAGCAAAAGCAGACACTGACACAACCCCTCTGGGTGGTGGCTTGGGCCACAGAGTGATGCCCATAGCCAAGGCACAGGCTGGAGAAGACAGAGACCTGCTCCTTGGCGCACGACGCCCCCTAGCTTCCCTCACACCGCAGAAGGCCCCTCTGCCCCAGTGCCTCTTACCCGGACACCACGCCCAGCTTCACCTGAAGGCAAAGATGACAGGTCCAGCACGTGGCTCATACCTGAAAGCCCAGCACTTTGGGAAGTCCATGCAGGAGAATCACTGAAGCCCAGGAGTTTAAGACCAGCCTGGGCAACACAGCAAGACCCCATCTCTATAAGAAATAGAAAACTGGCAGCATCCATAGGTCAGTGGGTAGGATGCCGGCCACATACCCCCAGGCTGGTGAGTTCAAACCCAGCCTGAGCCATCTAAACAAAGACAACTGCAACAAAAAAAATAGCTGGGCATTGTGGCGGATACCTATACTCCCAGCTCCTTGGAAGGCTGAGGCAAGAGAAGCACCTGAGCCCAAGAGTTTGAGGTTGCTGTGAGCTGTGATGTCACAGCACTCTACCGAGGGCAATATAATGAGACTCCCCTACATTGTACCCAGTAAGTATGAACCCACTGAGCCTCCCCTTCTTCTTGAACTAACTGTGTTTTTCTCTTGTGTGGGCCTGTAGTTATTGATCTACTAGTTTCAGATTAGTGCTAACTACAGAGGATGCTTACTTTTCCATTCTTGAGACACTGTACTTAGGAAAATGTTCTCAGAATCTATCCAGGTAAATACAAAAGATGCAAAGTCCCTATTTTTTATATGGCTGAATCGTATTCCAGGGTGTACATATACCACAGTTTATGAAGCCTTTCACAGGTTGATAGGCACTCGGGTTATTTCCACATCTTTGCAATTATGAATTGAGCGGCTATAAACATTTGAGTATAAATGCTATTAAGTGTCCTTATGGTCAAATGATTTTTTCTTCTTCTAGGTAGATACCTAATAAGGAGATTGTGGGATCAAATGGAAGGTTTACTTTTAGCTCTTTGAGACTTCTTTCCACAGAGTCTATACTAGTTTGCAGCCCTACAACAGTGCAAAAGCGTTCCCCTCTCTCCACATCTGCACCAGCAGCTGCAGCTTTGGGACTTTGTGATGTGGGCTACTTTCATTGGGTTAGGTGATATCTCTGGGTGATTTTGAGTTATCCATGTGTTTCTTGGCCATTCATCAAAATATCGCAAAAGCAATATTATTAAGAAAAAAACAAATGGGGCTGGAATAACTGGACATCCACATGTAATAACAAATGAACCTAGACACAGACCTTACATCTTCCACATATATCAACTCAAAATAGATCATACATCTAAAAGTAAAACAACAAACTAAAAAACTCTAGAAGACAACAAGGAGAAACCCTACCCAAGGGTGATCCATAAAAGAAAAAGCTGATAAACTGGACATCATTAAAACTAAAAACTTTCACTCTGCAAAGACAATGTCAAGAGGCAGAGATGAGACATAAAGCAGGAACAGTGTTTGTAAATGATAATTGTTAAGGACTGTTGTCCAAAGTATACAAAGAATTTTTAAAAATCAATGATAACAAAAAAAACTATTAAAAAATCAGCCAAATACCTCAATAGATACCACCTCAAAGATAGACAGACAGCAAGCAAGCACATGAAAAGGTGTCCATGTCACTTGTTAACAGGGAAATGCAAACTGAGATGAGACCGCCAGGCACCCACACGGTGTTAGATGGCCAATGTCCAGGGCACTGACAAGGCCACAAGCTGGTGGGATGTGGAGCACACATTCATTGCTGGAAGAAATGCAAAATGGTACAGCCACTCTAGAGGACAGTTTGAAAATTTCTTACAAAAGTGAATATACTGTTATCATATAATCCAATATAATCCAATAATCATTCTCCTTGGTATTTACTCAAAAGAGTTGGAAACTTATATCCTCACAAAAACCTGCACTCAGATGTTTACAGCAGCTGTGTTCATCATTGTCAAGCCTTGGAGGCAACCTAGATGTCCTTCAGTGGTTAATGGATAAACCTGGTGCAGTCATACAGTGGAGTATTACTCATCACTAAAATGAGCAGCCATGCCTTTAAAAGTCATGGAGAAACTATGATGCATATTTCTAAGTGAAAGAATCCAGTCTGAAGAGGCTACAGTGTAAGCCCAACCACAGACAATCTGACTTGTGATAGTTTAACTTAGGTTGGTGTGAAAGCAATGAGTATTGTTCAGTAGAAACTGCACTTCAAATTTTGAATTTTGATTTTTTCCCGGGCTAGTCACACAATATGATACCCTCTCACCCAGGGGGGTGGGGGTGGGGTAGGCAGGTACAGTTGGCTGCAGCTCTCAGGCAGCCAGGGGAACAGCAGGGTAAACAACCACACTGTCCTCTGCAGCACAGCAGTCAATAAATTACATGGGAGAGCACACACTTTACTATAAAATAGGCTTTCTGGGCTGGGCATGGTGGCTCACACCTATAATCATATGTCTGGGAGGCTGAGGCAGGAGGATCCCTCGAGCTCAGGAGTTCTAGCCCAGCCTGAGCAAAGCAAGACCCCCTCTCTACCAAAAAGGGAAAAATTAGTCGGTGTTAGAGTGCACACCTGTAGTCTCCACTACCTGGGAGGGGGAAGCAGGAGGATCACTGGAGCCCAGGAGTTAGAGGTCACTGTGAGCTATTTCACCACAAATGCCCTGTTTTAACAAAAGAAAAGTAGGCTCTCTGTTATACAATTTTGCCAACTGTAAGCTAACATAAGTGTTCTGAGCACACTTAAAGCAGGCTCAGCCATGCTATGAGCTCAGTGTGTCAGGTGTATTCAGCACAGTTTTGACTTAGGATATTTTCAGCTAATGGCAGGTTTATCAGGACATGGCCCCACCATAAGTACAACAGTATCTATATGTGACACTCTGGAAAAGGCAAAGCACAGACACTAAAGCAATCAGTTATGTTACCGAAATAAGGGGCCAGCGGGGATCCATAGAGGGTTTTGAGGGCAGTCAATCTGCTGTGTGTGATACTATTCGTGGATATGTGTCATGTGCAAGGCCAAGAGTGAAACTTGATGTAAACAATGGACTCTGGGTGATGACAACGTGTCCATGTAGGTTCACTGATTGTGACAAATGTACCACTGTGGTGAGGGATATTGATAATAGGGCAACCTGTGCATCTGTGGGGGTTGGGGAACACGGGAAATCTCGGCACTTTGCTCTCAATTTTGCTGTGATCCTAAAACTGCTCTAAAAGATAAAATGTTATTTTTAAATAGAGCGAGGCCCTCCTTGCACACTGTCAGGTGAAGTCATTATACCTTATACTGAATGATGCCTGCTGAGTGAGAAGAAAAAGCAATGCTGTGCAGGAAGTCAACTCATAGCACCACATGCCCCTCTGGCTGAGCTCAGGATGACCCAGGGGCTCCTCATCATCCCTAGTCCAGCCCCGATTTTAAACTTTAATTCATGTTCTCAACAGTCACTGACACCCAGAGTGTGCCTACAGCTTAGCTAGACAGCGGGACAAGGAGGTGTCACAAACACCCTCAACTTCTTGTCACAAACACCCTCAACTTCTTGACAGAGCAACAACCACACTGGGGACAAACCAGTAGGATGGGGACAAGACGCGCCTGGCTGGGAGCCTGCCTGCCCCGCAGGGCTGAGAGGGCTCCTGCTAGTGTCACAGCTCCAGAGAGGGCTATAGAGGTCACCTGCTCTCAGTCATTCTCTCACACCTGAGGACCATAATCACTTTGGTTTCACATCCACATCTGAAAATTATTCGTTACCATGTACGTTTCTCAGAAACTGCTGGCAGAAATATAAAATAGTAGAGCCACTCTGGAGGACAGATGTTTGGTGATTTTAAACTGTAATTCATGTACTCAGCACTCACTCACAGTAGCAGGATGGGGACAAGATAGAGCCTCGCTGGGAGCCTGCCTGTTCCTGGATGCTAAAAAAGATGTTTGGTGATTTCTGTAGCTTCTTTGATCTAAAAGCAGAGTGAAGATGAGAGGTTGACTGTTCACTCAACCTAAACCTCTTCTCTACAAAGCTCTTTGCAAACCTTTCCCCCACGTCCACCAAGAACTAGTGTATGGTATCTGACGGCATGCGCACAGTCCCGGTGCCTTCCTCTACTCCTGTAACCAAGGCTGCCTTCAACGAGACCAAGGTCTTTCAAGGAAGTGCAAATATAAACGGCGCCTGTGGCTCTAAGGAGTGAAGCACTGGCCCCATATACCGAAGGTGGTGGGTTCAAACCTAGCCCTGGCCAAAAACTGCAAAAATAAATAAATAAATAAATAAAATCTCATCAATCACTTCATAGTAACGTTCTGTGGTCTCAAAGGAATAATAAAGCCATTACTAGTGGAGTGGTGGTAGGAAAGTGAGGCAATGTGAAATGCAGGCACCTGTTTGGACAGGACTGTGAAGATGTAAGATGTGCTCTCCTTACCATGGGCTCCTCATCTCCTTGCCTCTGAGCCAACTTCCATACAGATGAGCCTTCCTCACGGCTGTGCTATGGAGAGAGAATAGCCACGATTAGCAAGAGACAGCCCAGAGTCCAGGGCAATGGCAGAGGCTGTCCGGCTCCCCCGTGGTGCCTCCCTGCAGTAGTCAGGTGTACAGGCTATAAGCACCTTCTCTGGAATTTGGGTCTTAGCTTTGTGGCTTATCAACCGTGTGGCTCAAGGCAAGTGACTTCACCTCTCTGTGCCTCAGTCATCGTCTCTGAAAATTAAAAATTGCTCTACCTATATCCTAGGCCTAGTGAGAGGACTAGATGAGATGCCACACCCCCAGAAATGACCTGCGTCTGACACAGGAAAGGCTTCAAGACTGTCGCCTACTATCGCCATGACACTAGTGAGGGCTGACATCTAGAAGTCACAGTACATTCCACACTGGTGGCATTGGAATGTACCACTTTTTTTTGAGACAGAGCCTCAAGCTGTCCCCCTGGGTAGAGTGCGATGGCATAGCTCACAGCAACCTCCAACTCCTGGGCTCAAGTGAGTCTCCGCCTCCACCTCCCAAGTTGCTGGGACCACAGGGGCCCGCCACAACGCCCAGCTATTTTTTTTGGTTGCAGCCATCATTGTTGTTTGGTGGGCCCAGGCTGGATTCGAACCCGCCACCTTAGGCATATGTGGCTGGCACCTTAGCCACTTGAGCCACAGGTACCGAGCCGGAATGTACCACTCTTAAAGAAAATAGAAATAATTTTCCTCATGCCCAGAAAATTATTCTGGCATACAGAAGGCTCTCTACAAATGAAGACTCAGACCAAGATAAACTCAGTGCTGAGGCTGTGAACGCAGGACCCGGCCCTAAGTCAAATGAGCTCTCAGGTTTGGAATTTCTCCAGGAAAAACACATCATATATTTTTTTCCTCTTAAAAAAAAAAGGAATATAAAATATCTCATTCCTAATATTTTATATTGATTACAGGTTGAAAGAATACTAGTTTAGATTTTATGGATAGTTGAAGGAATACTAGTTTAGATTTTATGGATTATATGAAGTCTTATTAAAATTTCATATTTCTTTTTTATATTTTTAATGTGACTATAAGAAAATTTAAAATTACAAATATGGCTCACATTATAATTCTAGTGAACAAAGAAAAATATATTTCTTCCAACTACCCCACAATTACTCTTCAAGAAATTTATTCACAAAAGAATGAGGTTGTTCTTTATCATTCAAACTGGAGGGATTTCTTCAATGAAACCAAGAAAAACAGTAGAACACATAGTGTAAGACAAACCAAAAAAAGACATTCAAATTTCCCCAAATACATATCAATATATTATTATAAATATTATATGAGAAGAAATATTTGTAAAGCTTTTCCTATGGTAAGGGGTGTCATCATAGCTAGATAATAAGTCAATTGACCACCACCCCAAAACTGAATGAGTAAAACACATTCACATCAAAACAACAGGTGGTGTATGACCTAGTTCATATAAAACTGCATGTGTTTGTACATGCATATAAAATAAAGAGATTCAAAAATTATCTTACCAAATTGTTAAATATGATTATCTCAAGGTCTTGGGATTCAGATAACTATCAAATAAAGAAAAAATTATTCTTCAGAAATAATTCCATAGAAGAATGTGCTTGCTACGTTATCTATAACAGAAAATAGATGATAGTCGTAACACTGCAATATAACCTTTGATAATTGTTAAATAGTTATGAAGACTATTCTTATGGTAAGTATGAGAATGCTATAAAAAGTGAAGATAGGCTGGGCACGGTGGCTCAAGCCTATAATCCCAGCACTCTGGGAGGCTGAGGTGGGTGGATTGCCTGAGCTCAGGAGTTTGAGACCAGCCTCAACAAGAGCAAAACTTGTCTCTACTAAAACAGAAAAACTAGGGGGGGTGCCTGTAGGTCAGTGAGTAGGGTGCCAGCCCCATATACTGAGGGTGGCAGGTTCAAACCCAGCCCCGGCCAAACTGCAACAAAAAGAACAAAAAATAGCTGGACGTTGTGGTAGGCGCCTACAGTCCCAGCTACTTGGGAAGCTGAGGCAAGAGAACTGCCTAAGCCCAAGAGCTGGAGGTTGCTGTGAGCTGTGATGCACAGCACTCTACTGAGGGAGACAAAGTGAGACTCTGTCTCTAAAAAAAATATATATATATATATGTGTATATATATATATATATATATATATATATGTATATATATGTATATAAAAAACTAGCCGGGCATTGTAGTGGGTGCCTGTAGGCCCAGCTACTTGGGAGGCTGAGCCAAGAAGATTGCCTTGAGCCCAGGAGTTTGAGGTTGCTGCGAGCTGTGACACCACAGCACTCTAAGGGCACAGAGTGAAAATGTGTCTCAAAAAAAAGAAAAGAAAGAAAAGAACGAATGAAAGTGAAGACAGGAGAAATACCATCTAAGGATAATACTAAGGAGAAAAACACAGTATATGTTATGATTCTTTCTACTCACAAACACACACACATAGTAACTTAAAACATGAAAACAAGAGGCATCATGCATGCATGTTAGTACTAATAACAAGTATTTAATAGAATTTGCCAGAGAAACCATTTGAGCCTGAGCCTGGGCTTCCTGAGCCTGGGCTTCCTGGTAGTATGAGAGACAGTCTTACTTTTTCGTACTCAACAGAGTCCATGGCATCATAGCTCATAGCAACCTCAGACTCTTGGGCTAAAGTGATCCTCTTGCCTCAGTTTTTCATTTTTAGTAGAGACTACAGACAGGGTCTTGCTCTTGCTCAGGCTGGTCTCAAACTCCTGAGCTCAAAGGATCTAGGTACCTGCCTTGGCCTCCCAGACTGCTAGGATTACAGGCGTGAGCCACTGTGCCCAGCCAGGGGTATGATTCTTAATTCTAATGCAATTTCTTTGTTATAGGTCTATTCAGGCTATTTCTTCTTTTTTTTTTTTTTTTGAGACAGAGCCTCAAGCTGTCCCCCTGGGTAGAGTGCGATGGCATAGCTCACAGCAACCTCCAACTCCTGGGCTCAAGCGAGTCTCCTGCCTCTGCCTCCCAAGTAGCTGGGACCACACACGCCCGCCACAATGCCCGGCTAGTTTTGGGTTGCAGCCATTATCGTTGTTTGGCGGGTCCGGGCTGGATTCGACCCTGTCAACTTAGGTGTACATGGCTGGCGCCTTAGCCAGTTGAGCTATAGGCGCGGAGCCCAGGCTATTTCTTCTTAAAGCAGTTTTGATGATTTGCATCTCTAAGGCTTTGTCCCTTTCATCTAAATCGTCTGATTTGTTAGCACAAAACATACTATTCATTATGGAAAGTAGGATGCTAGTGTCTCCGTTACTGTGAATTGTCTATTTCTCCCTTCAACTCTGTCGTTTTTGCTTTTTATATTTTGGGGCTCCCTTGGTAGGCCTATATTCACTTATAATTGTTAAACCTGCTGCTGTACTGATTGTTTGGTCATTCTCAAAGGTCTGTCTCAAAGCTTATTTTGTCTGTCCCCCAACTCTCTCACAGCTGCTGCTGGACGGCTTATGTCTGCCCACCACTTTACTCTCCATCTCTTTGAGTCTTCTAATCTAAAATAAAGTGAGTCTCCCATGTGCATTCTGGGATCACCATTCAAATAAACCACCTACAAACAAGTCCTGTCTCAGGTTCTGTTCCCAAGGTGAGACCCAAACTAAGCTCATAGTTCTTAATGTGTAAGGAAATCGATGAATCCTCAGTGTAGATGACCTTACCTTCCTTCTTGAATCTTTATCCTTTCCATCATTCTTTACTAAATTCTCTGCATGACTGGAAAGCAAACATAATCAAAATCAAACTTTATTTTTAAATCAAGACTTTTAAAAAATAAAACATTCTCCCTATCAGTGAAAGCTCTTATCAGTATTTGGATATGATTAAGAACTGCTGCAGGTTGACAAAACACGTTTTATTAGAACTATAAATCCTAAAATCTTAACATTTTTATTATTTCAGCAATAACTCAAAATAGAAAATATCTTCTATGGGGGAAGAAACTATGTGTTTTAATAAACACTGTGTATGTGCAAATCTATATATTTAAGAGTTCTACAAATTTTCTGTAATTTCAATTGTCAATCCCCAAAACTATTTTATGTTTAACATAATTTTATATCTCCAAAAGAAAAATTTATCTTGAAATAGGCTCTATTTTTTTTTTTTTTAAAGAGACATAGTTTTACTTTGTCGCTCTCGGTAGAGTGCCATGGCATCACAGCAACCTCTAGCTCTTGGGCTTAGGTGATTCTCTTGCCTCAGCTTCCAGAGTAGCTGGGACTACAGGCGCCTGCCACAACACTCAGCTATTTTTTTTGTTGCAGTTTGGCCGGGGCCAGGTTCAAACCCGCCACCCTTGGTATATGGGGCCAGTGCCCTACTCATTGAGCCACAGGCGCCACCCAAAATAGGCTCTGTTTTTAATCGTATTTTATATGTTAGTAGGGATCTAAATACTTTCAAAATTTCAAATTGATTCTCAATTTTATAATTTACATTCATACCAGTTTACTATGACATGGTTTAACAGATGTATAGAGTTGAGCAAAAAAGCTTTCTTGTTCATTCTAGCATTTTTTTTAGGACATAAAAGTGTAGGTTTATTTTATCTTAGAGAGGGAGTGAGAAAGGGAAAGAAAGTAGGGAAAGAGAGAGAAAAAAGACCATTCTAACACATTTTCAATATAAAATCTAGAAATTTGAACTCCTAAGTTTAAGTGTTAGCTTTGTAAAAATTTGAGTTAGACATTTAGCCTGAGTTTTCCTAGTCTATGAAAAAAATTACAATATGGTTATCATAGATAAGAAATTAAAATCAGGGCTTCTATACAAAATGGGAGTTTATAGAAAAATACAAATGAAGAGTTCATGCACAAGCACTAAATTTATCTGTAATCTTCACAAAATCAGTATCATTATCACAGTATTATTGAGAGGCCACCCAGCATCACCATTCAGAGGGAGACACAGGCTCGGCAACTTAGCTCAGTGGTTACAGTGCCAGCCACATACACTGGGGCTGGTGGGTTCAAGCCTGGCCCAGCCCGGCTAAACAATGACAACTGCAATAGTTGGGAATTGTGGCAGGTGCCTGCAGTCCCAGCTACTCAGGAGGCTGAGGCAAGAGAATTGTTTAAGCCTAAGAGTTAGAGGTTGCTATGAGCTGTGACACCACAGCACTCTACCACAAGTGACAAAGTGAGACTCTGTCTCTTTTTTTTCTTGAGACAGTGCCTCAAGCTGTCCCCCTGGGTAGAGTGCCGTGGCATCACGGCTCACAGCAACCTCCAACTCCTTGGCTCAAGTGGGTCTCCTGCCTCAGGCTCCCAGGTAGCTGGGACCACAGGCACCCGCCACAACGCCTGGCTATTTTTTTTTTTTATAGGAAAGGTCTTTATTGGTGGGGGAGGGAGGCTGCAGAGCAGCACTAAGGAGGATGATAAGAGGGGAGAGAGAAGAGGAAAGAGTGGGGAAGAGAGAGAGAGAGCAGAGGACCTGCCTGGCTATTTTTCAGTTGCAGCCGTCATTGTTGTTTGGTGGGCCCGGGCTGGATTCGCCAACTTAGGTGTACATGGCTGGCGCCTTAGCCACTTGAGCCACAGGTGCCAAGCCAAGACTCTGTCTCTTAAAAAAAAAAATTCCAGCCCAAGATAGTGCAGGCCCTTGGACTCACTGCACTCACGTACACTGGGCAGTAGGGGATCTATGGGCACACCCTATCTTTAGAGGGTGTGAACCAGAGTGAGTCTGTTCACACCCATAAAAGGGGCTGAACTGTCCACCAACAGACATTTCAGCTTCAGGCCCAGAGAAGGAACTGAGGAGACTTCGAAATGAATTCTTCCCAAAGCAAGTGCTGATATTCTAATTTAAATATATTATATTCTAATATAAAACAAAAAATAAGCTAATAATTTATAACAAGTTTGCAAGGTCCTCTAGCATACCTAAAACATACTGGCCCATTTGGAGGGGAGTTAGACCCAGAATGAAGCGCATCTATAACCGGTTCCCATTTACTGGCTATAATTAGGCCCAATAGGAAAAACTCATCAGTAAAGCATTCCCTAAGAACCACGTCACCATGAGGTCAAAGGCATGTACTCCTTACTGGCTGCTGGTTCCATCTCTCCTTGAACTTGTCCCACGACTCCTGTGTTCACCGTTCTACCAAACAGAAATTCCAGCCATTAATTAGTATGTTCCAACTGGTGAAGCAGTCACAAGCATCACAACACAAGTACCGATCAAAAAGTTAACACCAGCAACTATACTTTAAAATAACCATTTTTTTTTTTTTGGAGACAGAGTCTCAGTTTGTTGCCCTCAGTAGAATGGCGTCACAGCTCACAACAACCTCCAACTCCTGGGCTTACGCAATTCTCTTGCCTCAGCCTCTTGAATAGCTGGGACTACAGGTGCCCGTCACAACGTCTGGCTATTTTTTGCTGCAGTTTGGCCAGGGCTGGGTTTGAACCCGCCACCCTCGGCACACAGGGCCGGCAACCTACTAACTGAGCCACAGGTACTGCCCTAAAATAACCATTTTTAGGAGCTATTTTAATAAATTACATAATCAATGTCAGCAAGATAAATAAGAGTGTATTTAAAAGGGCAACTATATGTGACCTCAGCAAGTAAAAGAATCATAGTCATCATTTTACATGAGCAACACATTATTTACAGATAAACCTGACTAGTTCCTTAAATTGCTTAAAATGATGAACTTTAAACATATAGAATGTAGGCTCGGTGGCTATAGTACAGTGCTTATAGCGCCAGTCATGTATACCAAGGCTGGTGGGTTCAAACACAGCCTGGGCCAGTTAAACAACAATGACTACTGCAACAGCAATAAAAAGTAGCCGGGCATTGTGGTGGATGCTTGTAGTCCTAGCTACTGGGAGGCTGAGGCAAGAGATTCACTTAAGCCCAAGAGTTTAGGGTTGCTGTGAGCTGTGATGCCAAGGCACTCTACCAAGGGCAATATAGTGAGACTCTGCCCTCTCCCCTCCAAAAAAATACCAAAACCAAAACATATAGAATGCAACAATTTTAAAGACCTATGTACCTATAAAGAAAAAAAATTAAACAATCTTCTCATGAACTATGCAAAAAAAAAAAATATATTTTTTTGTAGTTTTCTTTTTTTTGGCTGGGGCTGGCTTTGAACCGCCACCTCTGGCATATGGGGCCGGCACCCTATTTCTTTAAGCCACAGGCATCTCCCTGAACTATGCAAATTATTAAAAATAATATTAAGACTCTGACACTGTAAACCACTATATGCAGATGGACTATCTGAAGAGAGACTGAGTTGGGGGGAAAGGGGGGATGTGGCAGGCCCCAAGTGAAGATGCTAGGGCAGCCGCCAGCCTCGCAGGAAAACCACAAAGCTGGGCATAGGTGCCAAGCAGAGCAGAACAGAAACAGCAGGTCAGGGTACAACTAACAAAAGTCAGTCTATAGCAGGGTTTTCCACGGGGGTGCTGTAGCACAACGGGTACCATGAGAGGATCTTTGGTTTGCCTAGGAAAATTGTAAAAATCATTAATTAAATTATTTTAGAAAGAAGTTCAAAACACAATGAGTATATATTCTTTTTTTTTTACTCTTTTTTGATCAACATAATTTAAGTGTACTGCAGAATTTTCACTATAGTGTGCCATGAGATTAAAAAAAAAGGTTGAAAAACACTGCTCTAGAGGGTCTGACACAACACGCGTCAACTGCCTTAAAAAGAGTTAAAAATATCTAAAGACCTTGACTTATAAATTTTACATCTAAGAAATTAACCATAGAGAATAAAGACAATTATTAAGATTTTCAACTGCTTATCATAGAATCATTTATAATTTCAAAAAAGTTAACAACCTGAATATTCAATATTAGAAAACTTGCAAAATAAATGCAGTTATGAACACATGACAGAATACCAGATGGCTATTAAATATTAAAAAGAACCTCCTGGAAAAGAGTAATAGTTCCAATTCTGCTTTTGTACAAAGTTCATTTATGCACAGGAAAAAGGAGGCAAGGACATGCACATGTATTACAGAACAGATGATCCCCAGCTCTTGAGTAACTGATATTTTTTATATTTCCCTATAATAAACAGGTTTTCCAAAATTAATATTTTTAAGTATAACTACATGTTTAACAGGAGAAAAGTAATCAAGTTAATTATAAGAATTAAGCTGAGTGGTAGAGCACTGTGGGGCCATGGCTCCTTGACACTGGCTGGACAGGCTGCACGTAAACTGGTGATGTGTCCAGGGACACCAGTAACTGCACTGGGCCTACACCTCTGCTCTCGAGACTCAAGCAGCACTCAGGGAGGCAGGAGCCTGCTGGCCCAGCAACATGTGCAGAGCTGGGGCCTGAGGCCAGCACTCGTCATTGAACCCCTATGGCCTTGCCACACCGCATCTCAGAACCAACACTAATTAGGAGAGTCCTGGAGCAGAATCCGTTATCTATGAGAGATGTCAGAGGTCATTACTTTCAGGAGCAGAAAGAAGCATGACCCAATCTTCAAAAGAATCAAAGTGTGGCCAATAGCACAAGAGAGAAATGAGGTCACTAGTCAGGAACCTCAGGAGAACACTTTGTATACCTGTGATGTTTAATCACACCCTTGCTATCTCTAATGGATAACTAGAGGGGCTGTACAGTAAAAGACACAAAACTGTAATTAAAATAATGGGTTGAAAACTACATAGATTTGTTAAAGATCAGATGGCTATAAAACACTGACTTCATCTCTTGGTTTTCTATATGGTTCTCGGTTTTCTATATGGTTCCCAGTTTTGTACCCTGCTGTTTTAATCACTGTGGCCTTGTAGTACAGCATAAAGTCTGGTAGAGGGATGCCTCTGGCTTTCTTTTTATTACCAACAATGGCCTTAGCTATACAAGGTTTCTTCTGACTCCAGACAAAAGAAAGAACTATTTTATCCATTTCTTCAAAGTATGATGTTGGTATTTTAATGGGGATTGCACTGAATCTGTAGATTGCTTTGGGAAGTACAGACATTTTAACAATGCTGATACTTCCCAGCCAAGAGCATGATATGTTCTTTCATTTGTTAATGTCTTCTGCTGTTTCTTTTCTTAGGGTAAAGCATACACTGGGGAAGAATCCCTATTCAACAAATGACGCTGGGAGAACTGGATAAACATATGTAAAAGACTAAACTGGACTTGTGCCTTTCACCACTTACAAAAATTGATTCAAGATGGATGAAAGATTTAAGTCTAAGGCACAAAACAATAAAAATTCTAGAAGAAAATGTAAGAAAAACTCTTGAAGATGTCAGCCTGAGGAAAGATTTTATGAAGACTTCCCTGGCAATTGCAACAACAGCAAAAATAAACAAATGGGACTTAAAATGAAAAGCTGCACAGCTAAGAACACAACAACCAAATCAAATAGAAAACCTTCAGAATGGGAAAAGACACTTATATATTATGAATCTGAGAAAAGCTTGGTAACTAGGATCTACTGAGAACTCAAATTAATCAACAAAAAAGAGCTAACAATCCCATGGGCAAGAGACATGAACAGAACCTTCTCTGAGGAAGACAAATGAATATCAAAAAATGCTCATCATCCCTAACCATCAGAAAAATGCAAATCAAAACCACCTTGAGATATCACCTAACCCCAGTGAGAATGGCTCACAACACAAAGTCTCAAGGCTACAGACGCTGGCAGGGATGTGAAGAGCAGGGAATACTTTTACACTGTTGGTGGGACTGCAAACTAATATAGCCTCTTTGGAAAGAAGTACAGAGAATCCTCAAAGAACACAAATTAGATCTCCCATTTGACTCCACAATCCCACAACTAGGCATCTATCCAGAAGAAAAATATCATTTTATCATAAGGACATTTGCACTAGATTGTTTATTGCAGCTTAATTTACAATTGCCAAGATGTGGAAACAACCTAAATGTCCATAAACCCATTAATGGATTAACACTGTGGTATATGTATACCATGGAATATTACTTAGCCATTAAAATGATGGTGACTTTACATCTTTTGTATCAACCTGGATGGAGCTGAAACACATTCTTCTTACTAAAGTATCACAAGAATAGAAAAGCAATTATCCAATGTACTCAATTCTAATATGAAGCCAGTAGATGATCTAATTCACACCCACAAAGGAGAAAAACTCATTTCAAGCTGGGAGGAGGGATAATAAGGGAGGGGGGATTGGGGTGCTCCTACTGAATGGGCACAATGTAGGGGGGTATATGGCACACCTTTTAGATGCAGGATGCAACTATAAGTGGGACTCTATCAAACAAATTCAAATATTGAGACTTGGTTATTTGTATCCTCACAGTAACCTGAAATTAAAAAAAAAAAAATGCATAGAGAAACAGAGAACTAATATCCATGGTAAGAAAACTGGATCCTCTGCAATCAATAATTTTATATTTCTGTGGTTTGGGGTTTTTTGCAAATTTACACTATTATACTAATTCTGATTGAAATGCTTTTTTACTAAATTATACACTTAATTTCCACTTCAAAAAATATCTGCTTTCTTTAAAATGTCATATTTCAAAACCTTATGATAGATTCAAGTATCTGTTAAAAGTATATTCACAGGCGGCGCCCATAGCTCAGTGGGTAGGACACTGGCCACATTCACCAAGGCTGGCCCGAGCCTGCTAAAACAATGATAACTACAACAGCAACATCAAAAATAGCTGGGCATTGTGGTGGGTGCTTATAGTCACAGCTACTTCAGAGGCTGAGGCAAAAGAATCTCTTAAGCCCAAGAGTTTGAGGTTGCTGTGAGCTGTGACACCATAGCACTCTACTTAGGGCCACAGCCTAAAACTATGCCTCAAAGAAAAAAAAAAGGATATTCACAATATAGTCAAAAGATTTGACTTCTTATTTCTCAGAAGATCCATAACCTCTTCTGTACTAGAATCATGTCTGTACCAAGAGTGCTACTATTAGGCAACAAATATGAACATTCTCTGGCATCATTAAGGCAACACTTTTTCTGAAGAGCATGGGTCTCACGACAAAGGTACCTTGGAATCCTTTTTCCTGTGCTCATCTTTTGCTCTCTCCCTTCTGCCCCCATCACTGCGCAGCCACTCATCACCCACAGGGAAGCCCTCCTTGGGCCACTTCTCCCTGTGCTTTTCTTCCCCTTCTTTGTCAGAGAAAGAACTACTTTTTTCTTTGGAATGTTTCTCCCTTTTTTCCCTGGTGCTGCTTTTTTCTCGGTGTTTCTTTTCTCGATCTGGCTCTCGTGGCTTCCTGTGTCTTCTCTCACCCTCTTCTTTATACAGCCAGTACTTGAGAGGGTTTTCTTTACTGCTCCCATACTGCAGCTGCAAAGCACAACACGGTGAGAAATGCATGAGCACCTGAGACCACACAGTCAGCCCTCCACACCCAGACTCCACCAACCTCAGACCAGAAACACTCGGGGAGAACAGTGGTGGTGCCGAATGTATAGGCTTCTCCTTCCTTGCCATTACTATCTAAACCAAGCGTCCTTAAACTACACCCCATGGGCCACATGCGGCCCACTGAAGACATTTATCCAGCCAGCCAGGTGTTTTTGCCACCACTGCCTGTCCTGCTTAGCAGCTGGCTCAGCCTGGGGCCCGCAGTCCGGCCCTCCAACGGTCTGAGGGACAGGAACTGGCCCTCTGTTTAAAAAATTTGAGGACCCCTGCACACAATATACTATAACAATTATTTTCACAGCATTTGCAATGTATTAGGTGCTATAAGTGATCTGGAGATAATTTAAAGCACTTGGGAGGATGTGTGTAGGTTATATGGAAATACTACACCATCAGACCAGGGACTTGAGCATCCATAGATTTTGGATTCAAGGGAAGCCCTGGAACCAGTCCCTACAGATACCAAGGAATAGTTGTACTCTGTCTTTACATATGTTATGATAAAAGCAGGAAAAGTTATAGCATTACCATTTCTCCCTTTAGTCCTCTATCCTGCTTTCAAGTATCTTCCCCCAAATTTAACCTGTTACCCTTCTGGAACACAGAAAAACTCCATTCACAGCACTGGTCCACTGTGAGATGCTGCCGACATCTGACCAAATATTAGAACCCTCAGCTTCCCCCCTTCCCTTGCCCCAATACAAAAACAGCATCCACATGCGTCAATAGGAGGTTGGCATCTCCATCAGCCCTCACACTTTCATTCTTTTTTTTTGAGACAGAGTCTCAAGCTGTCACCCTGGGTAGAGTGCCATGGTGTCACAGCTCATAGCAAGCTCAAACTCTTGGGCTTAAGAATTCTCTTGCCTCACCCTTCCAAGTAGCTGCTATTTTTTGGTTGTAGTTGTCGCTGTTTGGCAGGCCTGGGCTGGATTCAAACCTACCAGCCCCAGTGTACGTGGCTGGTGCCCTACCCACTGAGCTACAGGTGCTGAGCCCTACACTTTCATTCTAGTCACTGTCATGGGCCTAGAATCCCCACCTAAGAAACCTCTGTGCCCTCCCAGGAAGACACTCTGCACAACAGCAGCAGCACTCCTCCTCACACAGGTCTCCCCACACGGGTGTGCATTGTCACTTTCACTCTTAATCAGTCCCTTACAGGTGGAGAGTCTTAAAAGCTGGGACCATTTAGTCACCTCTGTAGTCCCCTCAAATACTATAGATGCTTAGTAAATATCTGGTGTCATTCATCACAAACCGTACAGCAGGACATTACAACATAATATTTTTGGCTCAACTCTGACTTCAGGGAGCACCAGCACCATGGCCAACAGACCCCAGAGCGAGCTGACCTTACCTTTCACACCAGCATTCCTCTGCTTACCCCTAAGTAGGTACACTGGGTTCATGGTACACAGTACCCACAACAACTCTCAGTTCCCTGGGAACTCCATCATCTTCCTAACTCATCTCCCTCCTCAGTTCCCCAATACTAACCACTCTGCTCATCCTAAAGAAGAACAAATTGACTGTCTCCCTGACCAAGCTCAGCAGTAAAGTCAGATTACTACCTCACACCATCCCCCCCCCAAAAAAAACCCCACAGTACTCAAAGATTTAAGTCTTAAAAAAAATTGATTGGGCTCGGTGCCCATAGCTCAGTGGTTAGGGCGCCAGCCACATACACCAGGGCTGGCAGGTTCAAACCCGGCCTGAACTTTCTAAACAACAGTGACAACTACAACAAAAAAATAGCCGGGTGCTGCAGTGGGCACCTGTAGTCCCAGCTACTTGGGAAGCTGAAGCAAGAGAATCTCTTAAGCCCAAGAGTTTGATGTTGCTGTGAGCTGTGACGCCACAGTACTCTACCGGCAACATAGTGAGACTCTGTGTCAAAAAATAAAAATAAAAAAGAGGCTAGGGGAGGTGGCTCATGCCAATCCAAGCACTCTGGGAGGCTGAGGTGGGTGGATCACCTGAGCTTAGGAGTTTAAGACCAGCATGAGCAACAGTGAGACCCCATCTCTAAAAATATCTGGGAGTTGTGGCGGGAGCCTGTAGTCCTAGGTACTAGGGAGGCTGAGGTAAGACAATTGCTTGAGCCCAAGAGTTTGAGGTTGCTGTGAGATATGACACCATGGCACTCTACGGAGGGAGACAAAGTGAGACTGTCTCAAAAATGAATAAATAAATAAATAAATAAAGTATTTTTTATCTGTCAGGCAGGCACAGTGCCTCACACCTATAATCCAGCACTCTGGGAGGCAGAGATGGATGGATCGCCTGAGCTCAGGAGTTTTGAGACCAGTCTGAGCAAGAGCAAGACTCCATCTCTACTAAAAATAGAAAAATTAGCCAGGGTGGTAGCACGCACCTGTAGTCCCAGCTGCTTGGGAGGCTGAGGCAAAAGGATGGCTTGAGCCTAGGAGTTTGATGCTGCTGTGAGCTGGGCTAAGGCCAAGGCACTCTAACTGGGCAACAGAGTGAGACTCTGTCTTAAGAAAAAATAAAAAAATAAAATGCTCTTACAAGTCAGTAAGAGGTGCCCCTAGAAATTAACCAACTATACATGGGAAGTAATTAATGACAGAGCAGTTAATCCTTTTTAAAAGTGCCAAAAATGACATTTTCTTCTGAATTAAGGAAGCAAAGATTTACGATGATGATGATTGGTGCCCAGCTACTGTCTGCGACACGGGAACTATACTCTGATGATATAAACAGTCACAAATGGGACAAGTTTATATTTAGTGTGATCCAGAAAGTTCAGTTCTAGAAATTAATCATAAGGAAAAATTATAAATAAATAAGCTTATCCCGTGAATATCTTTATAATAAAAAAAAAATTTTAGAAGCAACCCATGTGTCCAAAGGTAGCAAATGTGCCAAGAGAATCAATACATCTATACTGATGAATATTAAATTATACATCCCTTAAAATACTACAGGGAAACTTGATAACTCAGGAAGGTGCTCAAAGTGTATTAAGTTTAAACAATTTATAAAACAGCAAAAGTACAACTTAAGAAAAAAATGTTACATGTACAAATACAAACACACATATGTAAACCTGGTAAAATGCATGCATAAATGTTATCAGTAATTATTTTGGGTGAAGATTAGACAATTTTTATTTTCTTATTATTTAATTTGTATCTTCTACATTTTGTACATCAGTCACACATTACCCATGGAATCAGAGAACACTCAACCATGAGGGAAAGAAATGACTACACCTAGTGCCTGAGGCCCTCCCCAGGCCTCAGAGACGGGAGTGTGAAATCTCCCAACATGCGCTGAGGAGTACTGCAGCTCTGCTCTGGGTGCCTGTGGGAAGCCCCAGCCCGCAGGGCTCACCTTCTTCTCTCGGTACCTTCTCTCTCTGTCTTCGTCTCCTCTTTCACAGTCTTCATCTCTCCTTTCTTTATCGTCATTTCTTACTTTACTTACTACAAAAAATAAAACATGTTTTTAACATTCCCAAATTTTAGTACATTAAAAAGATCTTCTCACATCTTCCTACAGACTTTACTGCACATTTTATATTAACATGTATCAAAAACAGTGTTCAACTAAAACACATTCTCCAACTCAAGAAGGAAAAGTTCTAGTATCAAATTTAAATAAAGAGGAAGACAGGCTCGGTGCCTCGCTTAGCTCAAGCGGCTAAGGCGCCAGCCACATACACCAGAGGTGGTGGGTTCAAATCCAGCCCGGGCCTGCCAAACAACGACAACTACAACAAAAAAAAGTCAGGGATTGTGGCAGGCGTCTATAGTCCCAGCTACTTGGGAGGCCAAGGCAAGAGAATCACTTAAGCCCAGGAGTTGGAGGTTGCTGTGAACTGTGATATCACGGCACTTTACCCAGGGCAACAGGTTGAGGCTCTGTCAAAAAAAAAAAAAGAGGAAGATAAAAATGTTAGTCTAAAGGACAGATACAGTTCTTCGCCTCTCCCAGTTTACTATGGAGGCAACCTGGCAAGTGTCTAACTGATCCCTGGAAATTCACAGGGGCATCACCCAAGTACATGAGCCTGTGGGCCTTCTGTTGCCAGTGGAGAGAGACTCACAGAAGCACAGCTCCATCTAAGGAGAACCAGCCCAGCCTTATGTACACATGTGGCCTTCTAAGTCCTTAAGTACAGCCTTTTGACTAAATCCAAATTTTATGGAATAGATCCTTTTATTAAAAGGGGTGCAGCAGAGAAAAACAAAACCTTTGCTTGCCTTTTTTGGTGCTTATAAAAGAATAGTCTTGAAATCAGAAGCCTGCAGTTTCCCCACACTTGTAGGGCCTGCCCCATGGATGTGCTAAGAAGAGAGCACAGCACCCACTGCCGAGGGGCAAAGGAGGCCCCTGAGGAGCTGAGAAACCCAGCAGGGGAGGAAGGCAGTGCCCGCAACCCGGCAGAGACTACAGTGTCAGGCCCAGGGCAGGAAGGCAGTAGCACCAGACTGGCAGGAGACAGCCCTATCAGGCCCAGACTGATGCAGCAGGCCCACAGGAGTCTGGGGAACAAAAGTTCTACACAGACTGATTGATGCCCTCAGTACCACTGAACACAGAAAGCCAGATTTTCACTTCTGAATCTGCATAAACAAAAAAGTCACTAGCTTTAAATTAGGAGAATCAAAAATTTAAAAGATAAGGGCAAACCCAGACTTTGAGAGATAACTAAGACAAAGTCCCTTCATTCATAAAGTGTCTCCAAGCACTGAGTACCTTTCTAGGTGTCTGGGATACATGGGCCAGGTTCTGGGTGTGTTGTCAAGGTAAGCCCACAGGGTTACCAGAGACCAGAAAGAAAATCATGAAGATGAGTCTTGGGATTTCTGACCTAAGGAAAAGGGATGCAGCTGCCATCAGCTGCAATGGGCTTAGCTGAGGCAAAGTTGCTTCTGGAGGGGCCCTGAGAAGCTCAGTCTGGGGCATATCAAGTGAGTATATCCACTAAACACCAAAGCACAGGTGGATTCAGGTAGATAGCCAAGCCTGAATTCAGGGATGAGACCCACCTAGGGATAAAAACTTGGAAATCAAGAACCTGACAAATGATATTTAAGACCATGAAACTAATGCCAGCCAGGGAGCTGCAGTGGTCTGAGGGCTACGCCTGGCCAGGCCACACTTCAAGGGCAAGGAGAAGGTCTACACAGGATGACAAAGAGAGCTTCTAAGAACCTCATGTACAGCTCATCTTTCCAAGGTAGTTCAATACCGCACTGTAAAAACAAGAGCAGGTACCAACAAAAAGAGCCACCTGAGAACTAAACATTTTCTTAGAAATAAATATGCAGAAGATCAAAAGTAATAATTTTAAAAGATACATTAAATAGTAAAATAGTAACTGTTAAAATTTAACTAGTGGTTACCCAACTATCCCACTAGTTTCACCCCTAGGAATACACCCAACAGAAATATCAGTCTACGGATACAGATACAAAGACGTGCACAAGCTCCCTCAGCAGCCTCGTTCCCAGCAGGTTGAATGTGCAGACACTCTGAGTGTGCGGCCACTAGCAGCACCAGAGATAAACGACTCTTGGTCTAACCACACAAGGGAACAGTAGGGAACAAGGTAAATGAGTAAAAGTCCTTGGTTTCCATCATTTTCATAGCCAAGGCCTTCTGGCAATGAAGTTACCACATATTCTTCTACTACATTCCTTTTTCACTTATGTTAGCCAGTATGAATTTTTTATAAGGAGCATATACTATCTATATAACAATAAAATAATGAAGAAACTTCCAGGGAGAGGGGGAGTTGCATCTTTACCTTTGGAATTCCTAATTCTTAGAAATTTTGCCAAATAATATTTACATGTTACTTAAAACTTTTAAGAAGTACTTTTTATCAAAGAGTATTCTTGTAGCTTATTTACAATGGGGATTGAGATTCATTGTAACAGTAAGTCTAAAATACATTTTAAACTCTAGCAAATAATGAGAAAAATGTCATTCTCAAAAAAAAAGAAAAAGAAAAATGTCATTCTCATTGATTGCATTTTTAAAATGTCAAAAAGAAAACAATGCTTAAACACTGCCACATATTCACAGAGAACAGGGCCTACAACTTAAAAACCAAAGTTAAAACATTATGGAAACTATGAGAGAAAATAAAAAGCTGAATGGACATTTCAAAAGAGGAAAATGTCCCAAACAGCAAGAGTGTTTAGGGGAAAGGGAGCTAACAGGTGGCTGCCACAGACACTCAGCCGCACATGTGCAGCCCAGGCGCAAGTGGGGACCAGGACACACCTGAGCGGATCCGCCGCTCAGCCCGCTCCAGCAGCTGCCTGCCCCGCACCTCCCGGCCTAGCAGGTTATGGTGAGCTGGTGTCTGCCATAGCTCTTCTCTCCTGGTCTTTCTGTCTCTCTCTTTTTCTCTGTCCTTTCCTTTACTGTGAGACTTTTCTGCATCTTGTTCTCGGTGTTTCTCCTTCAACTTGTCTCTCTCCCGGTCTTTTGTGTCTTTTTTTCTCTCTCTTTGCTTTTCTCTCTCTCTCTCCCAAAGAGGACTGTCTTTGGCGGTGTGGACATCAGCCGTCCTCTCCCTGTGCTTGGTCTCTCTGTCTGGAGCCCTGGACCTGGACTCCTTGTATTCCAGGAGGTCCACCTCAGCCTCCTGGTGTAGCTTCTTCTCCCTGCGTTTCTTATCTTCCTTGAGACTTCCTGACTGTGCAGCCTAAAACAAGAGAGAACAGTATAGTCCTTGACAGGAGAAGTGTTTCCATGAGATGCTGAACAGCTGAATGTGAATTGCAGATGCACTGGAAGGACCTTTAGAAACCCTGGTGATGGCTCATGCCTATAGCCCTTGCACTCTAGGAGGCTGAGTAGGAGGATCACTTGAGTCTGGGAGTTTGAGACCAGCCTGAGCAAGAGCAAGAGCAAGAGCAAGACCCCGTTTCTTTTAAAAAAAAAAAAAAAAAAAAAAACAGAAAAAGTTAGCCAGTGGGCCAGGCCTGGTGGCTCATGCCTGTAATCCCAACACTCTGGGAGGCCGAGGTGGATCACCTGAGCTCAGGAGTTCCAGACCACCCTGAGCAGGAGTGAGACCCTGTCTCTAAAAACAACTGGACATTATGGCAGGCACCTGTAGTCCCAGCTACTCAGGAGGCTGAGGTAGGAGGGTCTCTTGGGCCCAGGAGTTGGAGGCTGCAGCAAGTAGTAATGATGTTACCTCACTCTAGTCAGGGTGACAGAGGGAGACCCTGTCTCAAAAAAACCACAACCTCATCCTGCATACAACTACTTTCCAATTTCAGGAAGACAGGTAGGAGTCAGAGTGGGGGCTCTCAGAGCACTAAAGAACTTAGTGTCATACTCAGCATTCCACAGCTGCCTATCAGAACCCATAGATCAGAGACATTCATACTAATGTTATTTCAAGGACTAGAAAGAAAAAGAGACCCTGAGGCTATGTTGTAAAGTCACTGCCACAGGAATGGCTGCATCCTACAGAAAGTGCAAAGATCCTGGGTATAAAACTCTCCACAGGACTTGGACTCAAGCCGAGCCCTCACCCCCACCCCACTGTGCCCAGCCACCCTAGCCCCTGAACCGAGATCCCTCCCCCCCCAGCAGTGCCCCCCCAAGCAGCAGCATAGGGGCTATGACAACGCCCTACTGGGCTGGTGGAGCAGCCAGAGGAGTTAACCACATAGCTTCAACTTTGTGTCAAAAGGCCTCTGAAAAGAGCTGCAGATAATCAGAGTCATGCAGGGCTACGGGCCAGGCACACCTGCCAGGGAGGCCACACTAGCTCCTCTCTGGGCCTCAGCTTGTATCTTTAAAATACATTACCCAAAGGTGTTTTCTGAGGTCATCTGATTTCCATGTGTCCTCTTTGGTTCTTCTCTAAATAGAAAAAAGTATAAAGTCAGAATTTTTAAAGTTTAAAATAATTTCATATGTTCTACTGAGCTGCTTTTTCATTAGGCCATTTAAATCAATGGTAACTAATTCTTGACATGCCAGAGAACACTAGGCTACCTTTTGGAATAAAAGGAAATACAAGTATTATTCATAGTCTAAAAATCACCCATAACTATTACTGAATACATCTCTACAGCAACTTAAAAATAAATACAGTGGAACCTTCATAGCTGACCATCTCCCTACACTGAGTTGACCTAATTTTCACAGACTGGACACACACCATATGTATGTGTCAGTATAGTAGGCCAAATTCCTTATGGTAGCCAGTTTGTGACAGAACCTTGGGTGTTCAGCTTATGGAAGGGTTAACCACAGGGCTATATCACAAAATAAAAATGTAAACAAGTCATAACAGCAATTGAACAACAGATTAAGGACAAATATTTTTTGGGTTTAGGACATACTGTGCCCACCAAAATTGTGTCTGTGCTCCTTGGACTATAAGTGGGCTCCCTCAGGACAGAGAGCGCACAAGGCTAGCCCAGCAGTGTGGCGCCCACAGTCACTCCACACACCAGTATTACTGGCTACACAGAAAGGACAGGACTCCAAATGACCAGGATACCTGATGAGGCCCCACCCCAAGCATAGAACCTCCCCAGCAGAAGCCCCAACATCAAAAACAGAGCTGAGCTTCCTTGTAGGTGAGTCCTCCAGTTCCTGACCCTCATGATTCAACACAGCCACAGCACCTGGGATGCGACGCAGACAGACAGACAAGCACACCAGACGCCACATGGAGCCAAACAAGTTACATGAATCCCATAGCCCTACAAGGCCAGCTATGGACACAACAAGGGAACTAATAAATATAATACCTGTGCAATGATGAATAAAAACAGGGCAAGGCTGCCTGTGGCCACTGACCCTGCAGTGTCTGTCTGCCCACCCTGAGGAGATACACGGCACAGCAGTGTCTGTCCACAAAACCCCAGGCTCCATCCAGACACTGGACTGCACTACCAGCAGAACCCTGCAGAAGGCTCTGCTCCAAAGACATGTCATCAGCACTACAGAGTGCTCACTCCTGGGGAGTCCACCTTTCAAGCCGCAGTTGTGCCTGACCCATCCTCATCCTCCCATCTCTAACCCCAGCACTGCTAGCGCATCACAGCATCCCAGATAGGGAGAGGGAAGGCCCCAGTGTCCCCATGCCCCCAAACAGCAAGTGCCACAGAGACCCAGAAAGTCCCAAGAATGTAAGAGGGGACATTAAAATAAGCTATGGTGGTCTTAAACTATTTTCACTGGTTCAACAACCCTTCCTTCCCAAGTGAAGCTAATTCCCTGTCTCAGGGACCATGTGGGCCAGATTCCCTACTCACTTCTAATAAAGAGAACAGGCAGCTAGGCTCGGTGGCCTACACCTGCAATCCTAGCACTCTATGAAGCCGAGGTGGCTGGACTGCCTGAGCTCTTGAGTTCGAGACCAATTTGAGCAAGAGTAAGACCCTGTCTCTATTAAAAATAGAAAAATTACTGAGCGTTGTGACGGGCACCTATAGTCCCAGCTACATGGGAGGCAGAGGCAGGAGAATCACTTGTGCCCAAGAGTTTGAGGCTGCTGTGTGCTAGGATGCCACAGCACTCTATAAGGACAACAAAGTGAGACTCTTGTCTCAAAAAATAAAAATAAAAAGTTGGGGGGAGAAGGGGCAGAAGCCAAGCACAGCTTCCAGCTGGCTGTAGCAGGCTTGCTCTGGAGAGCTAGAGCCATGGCAGGAGGACACTCAGGCACCTCAGGAGGCTGAAGAGGCCAGTGCAGCCCAGTGGAACCCTTAGGTGACAACCTAACTGCTCCCTCATACTCTATCCAATCCTTCCCATAACCTTCAGCCCCAGAACCTGAATACAAATGTCTGTTGCTACTTTAGGGTGGAGGATGGCCCTCTACCGCCACCCTATGCCCATGCAGGGCCTCACCCTGTCCCTGTGCTACCTGTTTCCTGGGGCTGCAGCAGCCTTGCCCACAGTGCTCAGCTCAGAGCAGGGGATTCCCTGATATGGGTACAGGCTTTTAGAGACGAAATCCTGGCTTATGTGTCTGGGCTGTGCCTGCAGCACCACAAACACACACAACACAGCCTCACACCATGAGAGACATAGCTGGGTAAAGAGCCAACTGCAGTGAAGCAAAACCAATGCATACAGCTTCCTGGGGAAGACAAGACAATACGTGTCCTAACAATTTCATTTTCCCTTTGAGAAACACTGTCTTGAAGGTACAAGTGAAGAGAGAGTTTGGAAAATGTGTTTCCAACGAAGGGTACATGTGGTCCAACTGAAAACCGAAAACTCATCATGGAAAAGTCAATAAAAATCTTCATGGACAATGAAAATTAGGGCAAACAAAAAAACCCATCATTATAGATCAAAAAAATACTGAGAATTTTTCAAACAGCAATTTTGCAGACAAAATAGACTACAACCATAAAATTTATCATCACTATCACTAGAAATTTCATCCTTTTTTTTTTTTGACAAATTAGTTGATTTGCCAAGTGAATTCAACTAAGAGCAACAGAAAATCACTTGTAATGAGGGCAGCAAGAGCTTGTAGCTACTGAAGGTTGAGTTGTTTACTGTCATGTTAACTGGTCTTAAGAGAAGTTTAATATGCAACCTGCTCTAGGCAGACTAACTTCTACACACAGCACATGACCACACAGAGAGATACACCAAGGGCACCAGGATAGCACAACTAGGGGACATGAGCACACACAAGGACATCAAGGACACCAGGACAGCACAACCAGGGGACGTGACCACACAGAGGGACACCAAGGGCACCAGGACAGCACAACCAGGGGACATGACCACATAGAGGGACACTGAGAGTACCAGGACAGCACAACCAGGGGACATGAGCACACACAGGGACACTGAGGACACCAGGACAGCAAAACCGGGGAACATGAGTGCACAGAACGTCACTGAGGACACCAGGACAGCAAAACCGGAGGACAGGTTTTGTCAACAGGCAGATGACCACACAGAGGGACACTGAGGACACCAGGACAGCACAACTGGAGGACTTGACCACACAGAAGGACACTGAGGACACCAGGACAGCACAACCAGGGGACGTGACGCAGAAAGGGACACCGAAGACAACAGGGCAGCACAACCGGGGGATGTGAACACACAGAGGGGATACCAAGGACATGAGGACAGCACAACCGGGGGATGTGAGTGCACAGAGAGTGGACATCGAGGACGTCTGCTATAGTGGAAGGGCACGTGGCTGTTAATTTGGAATGTGAAAAGTAAAAATATGAGAAAAACCATCTGATGGCTATGATATTACTGATGATTTTACGGCAGTGGTTCTCAACCTTCCTAATGCTGCAGCCCTTTAATACACTTCCAAAGGGGCTGCAACCCACAGGTTGAGAACTACTGTTTTAAGGTGAAAAACCCTGAAAGCAAGAGATCTCCAATAGAAATCACAGAATTTTTCTTCTGTCTCTTCAGTTTTTACTTTAAAAAAAAAAAACAGCTATTTCCAGAAATGCACAGGACGCTGACCACTGAGGGCCATGGAAAATTAGGTGGGATATAACCTCCCACAGGTTCCTCTTTAATCCCCCCTCACTGCCCACTTGCCATAGATATTCCCAGGGCTCCTTAGCACCCCGTGTGCACCCAACAGGCAGATGACAACCCACTACTGCAATTAGCTCTCCAAGGCACCATTCTCTTCCTGCCTTCCAGGCCAGTGTCATCTCAGTTTAGAAAACACTCATCACAAGTTAAAGCTAAATTTTAGTTTTAGGGCAGTGCCTATGGCTCAAAGGAGTAGGGCGCCAGCCCCATATGCCATAGGTGGTGGGTTTAAACCCAGCCCTAGCCAAAAACTGCAAAAAAATAAAAATAAAATAAATTAAAAAATTTTAGTTTTACTAGTTAACTATACAGTAAGAAATTTTTGAGGGCCAAACACGGTGCTCATACCTATAATCCCAGCACTTTGGGAGGCCACGGTGGAGGGCTGCTTGAGCCTAGGAGTCGGAGGCTGCAGTGAGCTGTGATGGAACCACTGCACTCCAGCCTGGGTGACAAAGACCCTGCCTCTAAAAAAAGAGAAATCTTTGGCTCAGCACCTGTAGTTCAGAGGCTAGAGCGCCAGCCACATACACCAGAGCTGGGAGGTTTGAATCCAGCCCGGGCCTGCCAAATAACAATGACAACTACAACCAAAAAATAGTTGGGGGGCAGCACCGGTCCCATAGGCCAGAGGTGGTGGGTTCAAACCCAGCCCCGGCCAAAAACGGTAAAAAAAAAAAAAAAAGAAAGAAAGAAAAGAAATAGCTGGGCATCGTGGTGGGCACCTGTAGTCCCAGCTACTTGGGAGGCTGAGACAAGAGAATCACTTAAGCCCAAGAGTTGGAGGTTGCTGTGAGGTGTTAATTCCACAGCACTCTACCCAGTGCAACATAGTGATACTCTGTCTCAAAAAAAAAAAAAAAAAAAAAAAGTGAGAAATCTTTGAAAAGGGTTATTTTGTCTTCCACAAATCAGCCTCTAAAACTCATGAAAACACCTGTTACTGCTCCCTGAGCCTTTAGGGTAAATGCTCCCAGCTACTGCACATCAGTTTCCCAGCACCTCAACATCTGGTCACCAACCTCTGGGCACCAAAAACTAGGCCTCCTATGATTATATCCAAGATAAGAATCTTTCTGCAATCAATATGCCACTCTCATTTCAGATAACATCAGTCACCAGATCTTGTATTTCATCTTCTAACATGTTTCTAAATCCACTGCCATAAATCCAGTCTAGCATCTTCTACAGCTCATAGAGATGGCACCACTGGCCCAAAACAGTACTAGTGATACCACGGATATCTACATCATGACACTGAGGAGGAAACTTTTTATCTGTGGAATGTGAGCCTCTTTGAACTACCAGGGCCACAGAGGCCCCGGAGTGACAAAGGATCAGACCCACGCATGAGCTGAGTGACCCTGTGTCATCACACAACGCATTACGGGATACTGCAGCTCACACCTTACAGCTTGGTCATGGGCTCCTCATGCTTCTACAAACCAGAGTTCCTGACCAACAACCTTGGTAATCACCCCCTGATGAGTCACCCTTCTTTTTCTTCAGTCTCCTTTGTTCTCTGGAATACTTCCCAGTGTCTTCCAGGCTGCAGTCCTCAACTTTGGTCCAAACAAAAAATCTCTATATTAATTTTGCCTGTTTCTTTCTTTAGGTTGACAATACTTGCAAGAATTCTCAGACATACAGACTGGAATAAGTAGACCTGCTGACAGCCAGGGAGCAGAGGGACTCTCTGGCACTACATGGCAACAAACTGAACTAGGACATTTGCTAAAAGACCCAGAGTAATGGCT